GATCTAACGTCTATGCAATTTAGTGAGTGTTCAATATGATATTACATTCAATATTATCCCCATTGATCTGGGCTTGGAACCACCACAAAGGCTATTGATTTGGGAATCTATATGACTGGGGTATAACATCATAATATACTGACTAATGCTACAGCACAATACAGGCGACAGCTCATGACTCCATCTAGTGGGAGGAATGGACATAACAAAACCTCATTTGCACAAACAGCCTTCTCTTATAATACAATAAAAAGTGGAAAAATCTCCCAAATTATCTAAAAGCCAAACAAACTATGTATTTTTTTCTGTGGATATATTATATTGGTGTATATATGTATGGTATATTGTATGTTTTTTTGTAAGCTATGGACTGATGTTATCGTGAAATGTAGAAATGGTAGGCTATCTTGTAAGATGAAATTCGTGATTTTGTAAATACCTAATGTTTTTCTGAGGTGTGTGGTTGTATTGTGCATGTGGGATGACGTGTGAGTGTGTTTGGGTCAGAGAGTGGTCAGGGTGAATTGTTCTTACTGTTGACTGAATGTGATTGCACAGTATAATTTATTTTTGTAAATCAGGGACTGCAGATGGAAACTAGCTGTTCAGTTATAATCTGCACCAGAATGTGTTTTTTTAAGAGCTTAATGTCCCTCTACATTGTCCCTTCAAATAAAGACATGATCACCAAGGACATCACATTCTGAAAACTAACATTTTTTAATAATATAACTTAATATACATTTCAGACAAAACACATACAAAGAAACTTCAGTATTTTATATGCATTTTTAAAAGTCATTTGAGTTTTTGTGGATGCAAACCTCATGCAAAAACTCATTCAGACCTATTTCAGGGTGTTTGGGATACCTTGGAGACCCATGTTTGGGTTCCACTCGGAATAATAAACCAAAAATACCTATCTAATGTAGCTTAGAGTGACACGATACAATACAAGACGCCTCTGTGATTAAAAACTGGCATGGGAAATTGAGGCATTTAACCTCGTCACAATAACAAATCTGTTATGGTGATGAGGTTAAATCACATCTGTAAAATATTGTTGAATTCAATCAACTCACAAAAAAGTGTTTCAAATATGTTATGATGATGAGACTCTAAATACAACCCATATGGTCCTCTGGGTATTACATGATTACTAAAACACACTTACATTGCTGTAATTTTGAAGTGTGTCTGAAGCCAGAGGTTTCAGTATTGAGGAACGCTTATGCTCAGTAGTTTAGTGGCTACACACTTGTATTTTCCTTTCTTATTATTAATGATTTTCCTACCTGTCTTTTTGCTTTCTAGGTTCTTTTACATTACATTATACCTTCTGTTTACTGGCTGGTGCCATTAAAAACATATGGCAGACTCCAATGGGATTAAAATAAACTGCTTTCTTCTCTATCATTTTGCTCCAGAAAAATATTTGGATGAAGAGTCAGCAGAGGGTTTTGAAACCAGCAGAACCCACTCTTGGAGGTGAGTCTTTTCAGCAACATTTGACATTGCTGCCATCTAGTGGTGAAACAATGTTGGAGCGCCAAAAAAGTTGTTTTCTATGTTTTTGTCAATATGGTGTTTCTTATTGTGTTTAGATTTGAAAGAGCTCAGAGAAGCCATTCAGAGGGATTTAACACAGTGCCCCGTCCCATACACTTCATCCTTAAAAGAGCTGAAACGCACACACAGGTCAGTATAATTTCCTTACAATATTTATTTTGAAGTAAACCTTACCAAATCTACTATATATGTCTGAGAATGTAACTGAGAATGTAATATTTTAAAATTATAATGTGTTTATAAAATATGTTTTATGTGTCACCTCATTAGTGATAATGCATGCTTAAACTGAATTAAACTAAAATGTACTTTCATGTATACAATGATTTATCATATGAGCTGCATTACTCTAAGCTGTGCAATTAATAAAACCTTCCTGCTCGTCTTCATGGAGATGCTTTTGCATTGCCTGGAATGTTTCATTGTATGGAATAAAACTGTCAGGTTAGATCTTTGGAACGTGATCAGTAAAAAGAGCTGTAATGGAATAAATGTAAGGAAGATAAGTGCCAGACAGATCAAAAACATCTCCTAAGACATAGATAAGTAGATCCCCCCAGTAAAAAAGTTGCACAGTGCACCTTTAGTCCTGATGATTCATTTATTTATTTGAGCAGCTAATAGTTAGTATTATAGATAATACCAAAAGAAAAAGGCAGCTAAAAACTGCAACATTTTTTGAATAAAAATAGTTAGTTGGTGTTGTCTATGGAAAATATTTCACTTTTCTGAGGTAATAGTAGCTGAGTGTTGATCTGATTTGGAGGTCGGCAGTGTGTGTGAATGGGCGAGTGATTCCTTGATTTAAAGTGTTTTGACTGCCTTGAAGGTGGAAAAATGTGAAAATATGAAAATGTGACCATTTACCATTTTTTATTTTGTCTATTTTCCTTTAGATTGGAATCAGTCTCTTCTTCTCAGCCTCAAGTATTTAGTGCTCCATCCCCCAGAAGGGACCACAAGTATTCGGATCACACAACATTCACCCAACCAAAGCCTCCAACTGGCCCTCCTCCTGAAAGGGCATTGAACTCACGCAAACCAACAGTCATCTCCTCCTCCTCTAAAACCCACTGCCCAACAGCCATCACTGAACCAAGAGTAACTACACCTTCAAAATCTAACAACCTTACCTCATCATCACGGCCAAGCAGTTCACCAATAAGGCACAGAGGCTGTATTTCTTCTCTTGAGAACCATAATCCATGCAGTACCACCCAGACTGATACCTCTAATTTTGCTATAAAGCCCCAGAAAAACTCGGCAATCCATAAAACACATTTAGCACCTCACGGCAGCTTCAACAACAAACGCACGGAGAGTAATTTGTCCCCTCAAATGGAGAGGAAGCAATGCCTGGGGGGTCAAGGGTCAAGAAAGAACAATACAGAATCTTCAACCATTTTTCCTCAAAGTACTTATGAGGGCAATAAAGATGATAAAAGCAGCGATTGTTCTGGAGAAAGGTCGAAAGCATCAAATGGGCTGCAAAATATGACTCCTGGGTATAATTCATTGACTTCAACACATGGTAGCACAAAGAAGAGCTCGGATACGGCTTCAAATATATGTGAAATGGGACTTGCTAATGAAGAATTGACGACAGCTAAAAGCGGTCATCATAAAGAGGCAATACCACTATACAAGCCAAAGGAACATTTATCTTCAACGAAAACGGTGCTTAAAGTTAGCTCAAGTCAAATGCGTAAAGAGAAACAGGAGGAGGCTGAGACAGAGTATTTGAACAGGTTTATCCAGCCAGTCCCCCCGCCCAGAGTGAAGTGACAAGTGGATTTACAGGGTGGGTTGGTTTAACTGTAGGCCTTTTATGGAAAAACAGAGAAATAAAGATTTGTCCTGGTGTGTTGGTGGATTCATTTTCAAGAATGTGTCATCAGGTAGATTCATTAAAAAAGTTCAGAGCCAACATCTTAAATGCAACATAAAAGCTACATAATGGAGGAAAATGTTTAAAAAATCTTATGTTGATCTTTTTGGTAGACTACACTCTCTTGTGGACTACCGCTTGTCTAAATTGCTTTTCTTGGAATGTTCCACAGTCTGAAATGGTCTAATTCCATGAAGACAAGCAGGTAACAGACAACAGGCCAAGTTACAGGTCAGATCAGGGCAGAGGTGACTCTGATTTGAAAACAGAAAAAAAAGAAATCTATTGAATTTAACCACATGAAGATTAAATAAATTACTGAATGACTCTGACTATAGTATGGTCTTTTTAATAAAACAGAAAGTATCATAAGACCTTTGTTCCTGCTGCAAAAAAGAGCAATATGAATCAAACAAAGGAGTTTCAGAGAGCACACCACTCATCTGTTTGTTAAGTCTAATCAACTAATGTTTAAAGACTTGGTTGATCTTAAGATTTTATTAATTCCGTGGAGAGCCAAACAAAGACATTTTTCCAAAGCTCTACAAAATCTTTTTATGTTTGTCTCGGAGGACTGTGACCATAGAAGACAATATTTTTTCCACACTGTATTCTCGAGAATGACATTAAAACAGAAATGCTTCTTGTGTTAATTCATGATTTTAAATGTTGTACTAGTATTTATAAATTTAAGAAAATGTACAAGGATAAAATGAGGATGAATGATGGACTATGTGGCTAAGGAAAATGTTAATGTTAATGAAATGTATTGTATTGAGAGATATTGTAACATACATATGGCTCATTGGTGACTTGGTTTAGTTTTTGGAATGAGGACTGATTATGAAAGAAATGTTGTATTTATTTATTTATTTATTTATCTGTGAAAGGAGCAAGATTGATAAGATTTATCTTCTTCCTGTTCCTTTTGTTCATGCATCAAAGACTAGGTAAATAATGGTTGGAATATGTATTTATGTTAATTTTCTGAATTTTATTTTTATTTTTATTGATGCCAACAAAATAATAGCATGAGCAATAAAAAAAATGAATAACTAATTACAAAAAAGAAGAAGAATGATATGGGCCTAATTACATTTTCATTGTTGGCATTTGACCATAGAGTCCCATAGTTCTGCTGCAGTGATAAAATAGATAAATAAATTGACGCAGACGATACTTTTAATAACATAGTCAGTTTTGGTTATTTTAATAGATCCATGGTTTTGGTGCACTTGATAAAATTTGCCCAGACTTTTATTTTGAAGTAGAACCGGAAACACTCGTTAGGACCGCCTGGTGTGCGATGTCGCTGAGTCAAGTCATTTGCAGCTAACTAGTGTCCATACAACAGGTAAGTCCAAGTTTAGTCTGGATTTATAAGAGCCAGTGGCATTTTATTTGTAGGATTTATAGTTAATACAGTTTGCCAGCGTTTGTATTCAATAGTCGTAATGTTTTGTTTGGAAAACGTGAGACTGCTGAAAGACTGTGGCTATCTCCTTTCTTGAATGAAATGGCAATCACTTTTAGCCTAGCTTTTGTCAGATGCACTTCATTCATTTTAATTAGTTTCATGCACTCTTTTCCAAGAATTCATGTATTGCATTTAGATTTTTACCACAGTGCGCTGAAAAGGGGAATCCTCACCACACTTGAAGATTTTCCTGTCAAACCTGTTCATGTCCTCACGCTTTGAAGTCGAAACTATCTGAAAGGGTAATCACTGTTTTGTATCAGTGACTGGGTTCAAGATGCCTTTCTCACAATAACCCAATAATGTTATTTCCCCCCTTGTCCAGACTATTATAGATTCTGTAGCTTTGGAATTAAATGTAGAATTATATAGCCTTCACGTTGACTATGACTTTTTTTTTTTGCAGGGATGGTTCTTTGGCTCTTTTAGGGGATCTGAATCTTTTGGATCTGTTCATTTCAAAGAGCTATTCAAACTTTTACTATTACTTAGGCCAGGGGTGGGCAAACTACGGCCCGGGGGCCGTATGCGGCCCTTTAAACCTTTTAATCCGGCCCGCCGAACTGGAATAAATTACAATAATAAACCTTGTTGATGTTTTATTTGTCATGCATTTCCAGCGTTTCCCAGTAGATGGCGCACTATATATACATTGAGGGGCGGTGCATTAGGTTGGCCGCAATGCTTTATGGGAAAGTGTTCTTACAGGAGTTATTCAGACCATGAGTGAAGTAGTTGGTGCTTAAGATATAAGACTGCACTGCTTCTTATTTGAGTTGGTAAAAATTAATATAAAAAAAACTTATGTCTTCCGATTCGTAATCATTAACGTGTACAACATTTCCGCGTCAGGATTTGTCACACTCACAGGTGTGTGTTTGTGGTTAATCGGCGTGAGCTTTGTTAATGGGCTGTTATCAGTCATATTTGAAAACGGTGAACTCACGATATTATACTTTCACTCGTGGTGTGCAGTGGAACAGGTCTTAATGGCTTTATGTGTTCTGAAACTTTCACAGCAGAGATGAAATTGTGTAGCACGCGTTTGAAATCTTAGTTAAATGTGATTGTGCATAGATTGAATCTAAGCTCTTATCAAGTTACGTCCTGTCTCCTGTCCGGCCCTTCAGTCAAACTTTAGTACCCTTATGTGGCCCGCGAGCCAGAAAATTTGCCCCGCTTAACACAATTCGAGTATTAATGAATAGAACTCCTGAGTTGAAGTTCTCATTAGCCTGTACTATTCAGAACTGAAATTCTGAAATTAAATGTTCAGACTTTTCTCTGAAGCAAATACAAGCTGAACTAGTGCAGCTTTATATCTTGAACACTTCTACCTGACTTATGGTCCAAATACGCCGCCTGAAAGAATACTTTCCCATAAAGCATTGCGGCCAACATAATGCACCGCCCCTCAATGTATAAATAGTGCGCCATCTACTGGGAAACGCCGGAAATGCAGGAAAAATAAAACATTAACAAGGTTTATTATTGTCATTTATTCAAGTTCGGCGAACCTGAATAAATTACAATAATTTATTCAAGTTCGCCGAACGTATAGTATAATTAAAGTAATTTATTCAGGTTCGGCGAACTGGAATAAATTACAATAATAAACCTTGTTACTGTTTTATTTTTCCTGCATTTCCCGCGTTTCCCAGTAGATGGCGCACTACATATATACATTAAGGGGAGGTGCATTATGTTGGCCGCAATGCTTTATGGGAAAGTATTCTTTTGCGCGGCGTATTCAGACCATGATGGAGGTAGAAGTGTTCAAGATATAAAGGGGCATTGTCTCCTTCCATATGGTGATAAAGTAAAATCAGTAAGGATTCAGACGCTATCTTGAAATTAATACCAACTATGTACAGCAGAGGTAATCCTATTTTGTTGAATGCACGCATGATAAGACTCCGTGGAGTAGACACTGCTTTATTTAGTAATGCTTTCATGTGGTGTGCGGTGGAGCAGACTTCATTCACTCCTCATGCGTTCTGAAACTTCTGCGTCTCCAGAAGTTGCAGCGCGTAGTGTCAAATACGTTCTACATGAGCGTAAATACGAGTGCAATGGAGCCGGGCTCTTAACACGTTCTGCCTCCTCTCCGGCCCTTCAGTCAATTTTTAGAGCCCTATATGGCCCCTGAACCAAAATGTTTGCCCACCCCTGACTTAGGCTATATGACAGAAGCCAATATAACGACAAAATAATCGCAGAGAGAAATGACCAAGGCTAAGAAATGGTTCAAACTGAAACTGGGAGTATGTTTATTCATTAAAATTACGCATAGCCTAAAAACTTTGCACAACAATAATAATATTTTTAGAAAGTAACAGTTATGATGCCAAATATGTTATTTTGTGCCCAAAGCTCTCACTCGTGCTGATTATTGCGTTGGTTCAGCATTAACCAGTATAAAAATACATACAAATCAGAAAGATTCTATAAAAATTTAGATCCGAGTAGTTCAAAGGAGCCGACTATTGTATTCATCTCCTGGTATAAAGCTCATTGTATATAAAAAATATCAATTTGTGATCAGTACTAAATGTAGTATAAAATCTAGATGCTAATTTATTATTAATTCAAGTATTGATGCATGGAATTATGAAACACATACAGATAGCAGCTATTAACTATTCTCGACTAATTTATTAGAGATAAACTCCTAAATTTATTTGTCCTTTTCTTCAGGCTGGGATGTGGTGGGTGCTGTGGCTGCTGGGGGCCTTGCTGGCTCTCTTCTCCTGTATGGATGTGTGGTACTTCCTGCGGGCCGGTGTGGTCATCCTCAAAGCCTGGTTCCAGCCTCCAGTTTTCGACATCACGGCGGAGCAGATTGTCTCGGGCCGCGTCACATTCAATGACATCGACATGTGTCATATGAACAACGCTCGCTATCTCAGAGAATGTGACTTTGCCCGGTTCTCCCTGTACACTCGAAATGGTGTGTTCAAAGCTGTGCGAGCTCTAAGGGCCTCTATGGTGGTGGGGGCTAATACTATTCGCTACAGGAGGGCGTTGTGTGTCGGAGAAGGGTACGAGCTGAGGAGTCGGATTGTGACGTGGGACGACAAGGCCTTCTACCTGGAGCAGAGATTTGTGTCGACTAAAGATGGACTGGTGTGTGCTGTCATGTACTGCAAACAGTCAGTCATACGCAGCACTCCTGACCAGATCATGCAACATCTGTGCAAGAGGAAGGTAAGATGAGACACTATTACATTTATTTATTTATTTTCAGAAAGCACAATAAATCCTTCTTTAATACATTCACTTTTGAAAATTGAGCTGGAAGTTGGATATTGACTATTATTTTTCACTGCCAACCTTTTTTTGATACTACTATTACTGATGCTTTTGCTACTGCTGCTGCTACTACTACTACCAGCTAGTGCTGCTACTTCTGTTACTGCTATTACTATTAACTAATTCTACTCCAACTCTTGTACTTCCATTTTAATTTGGCCTTTCAGAATATCTCACTTTACAGATGATGCCACAGCCTAAAGACAAACAAACATTTCTACATTTAAACTCTCCGTAAAACCAGAAATTGTGAATGAAAAAAAAGTTTATGTTACAGAATGTTAGAACTGGAAATGAGTAGAGATGTAACGATATCCAAATCTCTTGGTATGATATTATCACGATATGCATTTCACGGTACGATATGTATTGCGATATTTTGGAGAGGTTAATATAATTGTAGACAGGACACTTTTTTTGCTTTTAAAATACCCTGAGAAGATTTTGGTGTGAATTTTTTCCGTCATAATCCCAAGTATAAAACATATTTCTTCATGTTGTCTGTGCTGAAATGAATCATGAGATATGTAGTTCCTGATGTTTATTAGCTGTTGCCACTATAAAAAATTGATTTAAGCAAAGGAACTTGTAATTCAATATATTGTGAGAGCCCATGGTATTATTGTGAGACTTTTGATGATACGATATCACGATATTTTGATTATTGTTACATCTCTAGAAATGAGGAGGTTGTTTTAATGGAGGAGGTCATACTGGCTTGTTGTATTAAAATAAATATATTCCTAAAATAAACTACTTCTCTAAGAGCCTGTTAGTGGGTTAGTAAGTTAATTCATCCTCTGCTTCAACTGAATGATGCCTGGTCACAGCTTGTGTGGTGTTTTCCTCCACAGGTTGAGGTCCCTGAGTTCCCAGAGGATCTTCAGCACTGGGTGAACTTCATCTCGGCCAGCAGCCAGGCCCTCAGAGCTGAGAGTGGACTGGACGATAAGAACAAATGAAGACTGTTAATCTTCTCTTGTTAAAGTCCCATGGGTAAAGAAAAGCTGTATCATCTGCTTTCAGTGCAATAATAGGTACAGTCATTTAAATGCACTACTGACATGAACAACAACGTATAAGGTTTAATACAGTAAGTTTGATGTTTACAAAACCACATAAAATACTGTATTTTTCTACTTTAATACAAAGTATTCAGTGATGAAAATTTATCCTAGCCTTAATACTACTGCTGCAGTCTGCTTGGTGTACATTTGGTACATTTGGTACATACACTTGGTAACATTCAATACGTTATGCACTAAAATTGTGAAAAGAAGTTAGGTTAAATTTGTGTTAAAATAGATGTAAGTGATGTGAAGTATGTATCTTATTTAAAATGGAAAAGCCTACTTGTGCCTTGGTGCTGTTGTTGATAGCAATAAATAATAAATGATACAAAACTGCATTCTTGTTTTTACTACCAAACAACCAAAATTGTTAAAAAGTGTTAATCGTATTTATACCACTTCAATATTCAGATATATTTTTGTTTTGTTTGTAATACTTAATCATTTTTTCATCTTACAAAATAATAAAAGGTTCAGGGTTTTCCTTCTCTCTTTTTGCAGTACTTTTTATTGCTCTGTTTTGCACATAGCCTGTACAGTCTATGGTTTTTCATCACCAACCATAATTATAATAGATCCGTGCACCGTTCTCGTCCAGTGCAGCCAGTCACGTGTTTGCCCCAATGCGGAAGTTCATTCATTCTGCCGGTATCTTCCAAGTTGAAGCTTGTCCCATGGTTTCGCACTTTCCCGGACAATCTGTAAGTAATCAGCAAGGCAGATATGCAATTATGTGTTGCATTTCTTTTATTATTTTGGTTAGCATGTAGTGATTATTAAATCCTTCACATATATGTCGTTTTTTGATAGTTTTAGTGTTTGCGTTTCCAAGGCCAGGTGACAGCCAGGATAGCATCGGGCTAAGCTAACGTGAAGCATCGCCAGGTTTATGATGCTAAGGCCAGAAAGCTCTAAATATCAAGAAGAACGACTGCGTGCTTGGTCTATTTACTTGCAGAGTGCCGTATATAGCTATTCTATTTCTATTCTACATTTGTCTACTTTTGGAGTAGTTGCAGATAATGCTTTTAAAATGACATTGATAAGGTCAACTGTGTCTAATATTGGTGCTTTTTCACATTTTAGAAAGTGATGATGCCACACTGCCAGATGGGGTTTCCCTATTGATACTTTACAGTGACATCATGCTGGGGGCTTTTTACATGGATCTGTATGGAGAAATGTTCAGCTGTTGCCATGGTGACACAATGCACACTTTAGTAAACATTCAAAAAGTTTTAAGACTGAAAGAAAAAAACTCAATTTTCAGGAGCGTTTAATCAAGAATTCATGCTCCTGTTTATGTGAAAAAAAAAAAAAAAAAGCTTGTGATTTTAATTTTATGTATGAGGCTTGTTTAACAGCACAAATCTTCTCACCTATTGTAGTTCCAACTAAACTGTTTCTGGTCACAGTGTGTTAAAATAAAGCTCAGATTATAATGCAAGTTGATTAATAGTAGAGCTTCAGACAGAACAAAGTCTACAGTCACTTCACACCCTCAGATAATGTTATTGCAGTAGTAGTAGTAGTAGTAGAAGTATCAGTTGAGTACATTGTGCTTTGCCATGAGATAAATTCATTCATGTTAAACATGTTGTTTTCTATCATATATTAGACCCATTCACTTGCATTACAATAAAAACTGCACTTTAACAATATTCATTTTATTTGCCCACTGTCTGTATTAAATGCTATTGGCCTACCAAATGTTGTGATTTCATCTGAAACCCAGCGCTACATTACAGTCACCACAAGAAATCGAGACGAGGCAAAGTAGATAAGACAACTTTCCCTGTAAGATGTATACGATGCCTTGACATTTGGCAATATTTGGCAATAAGTCTTTTAGTGAAGAAAGATTTATTGTGATCTTTCAGTGTCACTATTATAAATAGTTTTCTAATTGAACTTCAATTGCAACTTCATTTTTCAAGACTTTTATATTAAATTGTATGATAAACTTAACTATTAAAAGCATATTGAATTTGTATGTAGTGTACTAAGTTACTGACTGACTATAATATACTTTTAACTTCTCAAAATGCAGGATTTTAGATTGACCAGTATGTTACTGGTCCTGCTAACTGTGCTGAATTAAGATACTATTTATTTATGATTTATCAATCTTGTGATGGAGAGGAGGCTCTTGTTGACCATTCTGGTTACCGTATATAGTCTTCAACAGTTTGAATATTTGTGTTTTAATTTTTGCTTTTGAGTTGTTTTTAATGTTGTATGTTGTATTTTACTAAATAATAATTAATAAATCTTTGTGTTTTGTTGCAGAGAGATGCTGCTGCTCCTGGTGGTGTGCCCTCCTGCTGCTCTTCTGCAGTCTGGATGTGTGGTACTTCCTTCGGGGGGGTGCAGGTGTTTTTGGAGGCCTGCTTTCAGCCTGGTGTCTCTGACATTTTAGCCCAACAAACCGTGGATGGCCTGGTCACTACTCATGACTTGGACTACTTGGGTCACATGAACAACTCCCGATACTTGAGGGAGTGTGACTTTGCAAGATTTCACCATTATGTAAGAAATGGCTTCTTCACTGCGTCGCGTAAACTAGGGGCCAAAATGGTGGTAGGGGCCTCTACTATAAGGTATAGGCGATCCTTGAATTTTCGTGAAGCCTTTTCGATCCGGACCAAAGTGCTGGGTTGGGACGATAAGGCGTTTTACTTGGAGCAGCGGTTCGTTTCCAAAAAGGATGGCTTTGTGTCAGCCATAATGCTCTGCAGGCAGAATGTGGTGAGCAGCAGTCCAGAGGAGATTATTGAGTATGTCTGCAAGAAAAAGGTGAGCACTAAATTAGATACAGTACTATGCACCTAAGCACAAAGGCAAACCTAAACACTATGTAATTATTGTGTGTTGTGGAAGTAATAAAAGTAGCCCAGAGTCAGGAAACTCGATGTCTATGGAGAAGTTTATTTACCATCAGTACATGACCTGGGAACAAGAACACTCAAAGCATGGTGCTATATTGTCAGTTTGAGTCTGGCAGTGCTTGAAGAGGGTTAAGTAACTGGTTGTATGTAAGAACAGTCAGTAAACAAATCCAAAGATATGGAAAAATAAACTAGTTCACCTAAAATTGTTGTGAAATAAATACCAATCCTTATAATGTTGATCCGAAGTCCTGTTAATATTAAACAGGATTAGTACGCTCAACAATTATGTAATTTGGTATAAGTGGTATTACATTAGAAATATAAACATATGATTTCTTTCTATTCTTTTTAGTCTTTTAATGTTATTATTGTTTACTAGTATTTCAAAATGATGTGTCTTAACAGTTTTATGTTGGCTATACCATAATAATAATGTTTTTAACTTGTTACATAGGTATTGATTGATTTTATGTTTCTTTTTCATTAGATTGAATGTCCTGAGTTTCCTGAGGACCTTAAACATTGGATCAACTATATTACAGCCAGCAGCCAGGCCCTGAGAGCAGAGAGTGGACTGGAGAACAAAAACAAGTGACACTGCTACTGTTTGAGACCTTAAAGTAGTATTACCTTATTATTTCTGGCACGCACATGTAGATGCACAAACAATAGAGTCTTTATTTATTCCTCTGAGAAAATCCTGCTGACAATGTATTTTTCTATTTTATGATATGGGAGCAGAAGGGTACATTATTGAGTTATATTCAAGAAGGTATTCTTGTAGGTTGCACTGTTCTTGACCAGCTTTAGACTCTCAATAGTTTTAGCAGCATGTAAAAACGTATCAAGTCCATCTACATCAGTGCATGTTTTGAAATATTTTGTGCCTGACTACTATCTTTAGTTTAGGGGCTTATAAGTAACACATTACATTTTACCAACAGCTACCGTAGTCATTATAAGAAAACGAATACTTGAAAACTACTATAATAGTATAAGTGGTGAGACAGCTATTTTATCTTGACTGTCAGAAGTTTGCACAACATAGAAGATTATTCAAAATGGACTGATACTTGAGCCAGTTTATTTTTTGCATAAGTTTAGATTTTTAAAGGGTGGGTCGCTTCCTATTTTCTGCATGTAAAGAGCTTGTTAGATGAAGAGAAATATATCAGCACTGAAATCCTTCCCTTTAATGCATCAAAACTTAAGTTGATGACCAAAGTAATGTATGTTTATGTTAAAGATGTCGTGTCGTAATGTTATTTATCAACAGCACTTAACATTTCTTGTCATGTCATCCTAAATTATTCATAATTTATTGAGATGTTTTATGTATCATAGCAGCTATAGGATGTCTTGTGTTTATTATCAATATGCATTTCAAAATAAATGCATTCTGACAACAGTAATGAGTGGTTTGTACTATATAATCATTATAACTTGTACAGAAAACACACCACCTTGTTACTTGGTCTGTGTCTACAGTCAGACAGTTATTTTATCCAAAAATACAGTACAGTAGACAAGGGTAAACATTTGTGAATTTCTAGTAAGTCATTAACATAAAAGCATGTAACTTACTGTTTAGTGTAAAAGTAGAGTGACCAGAATTTCAAAATAAAAAACTGGGATACTATAAAAATTGTGTAAAATTATGAATAGAGTGGATAATTAAGGAAAATTCTTACACACTTGGCCCATTCAGGACTTGTATAGTCACATTTTCATTGTCTTTTGGTCATTTTTAAGCAGATTTTCTGTATATTACCAAAACAAATGACAATGTATGCCTCTCTTTAGTGTTGGCTGGTATCAAATTGATCAAAAATAGAGACACCTGGGGCATTTCTTGTATAAAACTGGGACAGATCACTGGTTTTGGAGAAAACTGCAGGGACAGGGTACACGGGGCTTAAAACTGCGACTGTACCGGGTAAATATGGACGTCTGGTCACCCTATGTAAAAGAGCTATCTTGACCTTTACAAAACTGTCCCTTGCCCCCCATTTTTGGAGCAAACCAAAGTATGGAAAAAGTCACTATTCTGTATATTTTCAAAACATATAAATAAACTGTCATATAAATAATCAAATCAATATTAAAAAAAAAAAAAAAAAAAAAAAGTAAATAAAATGAAATACGATTGTACTTCCGCTGACGTAGATTACGCCCGCGCCTCGTTTCCTGTAAACAAAGCAGCAGCTGTCAGCCGAATAAGTCTGGGGATTTCGGTGTTTTCGACCAGTTTTTCCGTCGACCTTTGCCCGTTCCGATCATGGCCCAGGCCGGGGTAGTTCTGGACAAGGACCAATTTAACTGCTCCATATGTCTGGACGTGCTCAGGGCCCCCGTAACCATCCCGTGTGGACACAGCTACTGCTCGGTGTGTATCCAAAACTACTGGGATCAAGATGACTACTTGGGAATTTTCGCTTGTCCCCAGTGTAGGCAGAACTTCACGCCGAGGCCTGTCCTAGCTAGAAACACTATGCTAGCAGATGTTGTGGAGAAATTTAAAAATACTAGACTCCAAGATGCACCTTCTGCTTCTCCTGCTGTGCCTTCAAACCAGATTGTTGCAGAAGCTGGGGACGTAGCGTGCGACGTTTGTACGGGGAGGAAAAACAAAGCAGTCAAGTCGTGTCTAGTTTGCCTGGCCTCCTATTGCGACCATCACCTTAAGCCTCATTACGACTCAGCGGCCTTTAAGAAGCACAAGTTGGTTTCTGCGACACAAAATCTACAAGAGACCATTTGCCCCAAACACGATAAACTTTTGGAGGTGTTCTGCCGCACGGACAAACAGTGCATCTGCTACCTCTGTCTCACGGATGAGCACAAGGGACACGACACGGTGCTGGTCGAGGCAGAGATACAAGATAAACAGGTAAATACAAGTTTTTATCTTCACAGTCTCATCCCAGTGGTATTAAAGCTTCACTGTGACTTTTCAATCATGTTGTGGCCATAGACAAAATCTGTAGCAAACACTGAAATATTCTACAACTATGATTCATTCGCAAAACAGTAGTATTACTCAACCTCTTTTAAAACAAATGTTACTCTTTCTTTAACAGTTTGTTGAGCACTATTAATACTATTTGTAAACTGTTTAAGATTAGGGTGACCAGAAATAAAAAAAAAAAAAAAAAAAACTGGGCCAGTATAGTCACATTTTATTTGTGATTTTTGTCGTTTTTAGGCAGCTTCTCTGTATTTTACCCAAACAAATTACAATGTATGCCTGTCTTTACTGGGAGTGTGCAAAATATTGAAATATGAATATATATCGTATCGTTTAATGTGATGATGTATCAATATATTGCCAAGAGTATTTTTTGGAACATTTTACTAAGTTATTTTGTTACAGTGCTACAGTTTTGTTGCTTGTTCAGTGGAAGGAAACTCATTTATGCAACACATTTTACATATTCACAGTTTTGATGAGTAAAAGGTGAGTGTTTCAGATGAACTTTGCACAAGAAGCGGTTTAACAAAGACTTTTAGTATCACAGCCATGATTTAGCCTTTATTTTGTTATTGAACTGTATTGAATCGTTTTGAATTTTGAAATATATCATATGGAATCTTAACAAATTGAAAGCTCACTGTACGAGATATGTATCGTATCGTGGCCTATGTATCAAGGTACGTATCATATCGGCAACTCCTGAATGATACCCAGCCCTAGTCTTTACTGTTGGCAGGTATCAGATTGGTCAAAAATAGGGACACCTGGGACATTTCTTGTATAAAACTGGGACAAATCACTGGTTTTGGATAAATCTGCTGGGACAGGGGACATAGGACTCAAAAACTGGGACGTCTGGTCACTCTATTTAAGTTGTATTTTGGCTTATAACATTCTTTCCACAAAAAAGTTTCTACTGAATTGCATTTGTCTACTTTCCACTGCAATTATAACATTACTTTCTACCTTCACTTTGCCTCTGGAATGCAACTCCATTAGATGAAATGACCCAACCCAAAACATGCTACAGGTCTCCAGAACAGTTGATAGTCAAGGTCAGTTAAATACAATCAATCAATGAACCTGTCCAGGGACTACAGGTGGAAATTAGCATTGATGCTACATCCTGATGTACAATGCATCTCTCCTGTCAAGGTTAATGCGAAAATTGTGTGCTGTCCCTGTCTCAAATAAATAAATAAATAAATAAATGACCTTTGCATTGAATCATAATGACTACTGATTGATAGGTTTGTGTGATCAGATGAGATTAGACATTCCTTAAGGGGATTTGATCATGACTGATTATGATTAAAAGCAGCCCATAGCTTTTGCAGTTTACCACCCTGTGTTATAACCTTCCCTGTGTTATAACAAGTCTATGGGAAATGAGGGAGGGGTGCAGAGAGCAGAGACAAATGGTGGGATACTCAATCCTGTGTGCAAAGTATTCTGGGACATTGCTTCGGCACCGTCTTGTGACATAGCTTGCTTTTGTTTCTCCAAATTATTATATAGGCCAGCATGAAGAAACTTGTTTGACAAAGTTGTGATATAACGTTTTACTTTTCTTTTGAATTGACTTCATTTCTTGTAATTTTTGCAGAAGCAGCTTGGTGAAATGAGACAAAACTCACATCTAAGAGTTCAACAAAAAGAAAGAGAGGCTCACGAACTAAAGCAGGCTATTTTCTCCCTCACTGTAAGTCAGACCACACACTCGAACCTCAACATGACGTCTTATATTTAAGTATTACAACTGGATCAAAGTATGTAGTTAAGACTTCTACAAACATGTTCTGAAATGCAAGTGATTATTATATTTTTCTGACTCAAATGTTAATGCGCTCGTTAATTTGCAAATCTGAATCACAAAATATTAGTTTCAACATCATGTAATCCTTTAATATTTGTTTGTATTTGTCTCCCCCTAGCGTTCGTCCCGTGCTGCTGTGGAGGAGACTGACCATGTTTTCACAGAGCTGATCCGGTCGATAGAGTTGAAGCGTTTTGAAGTGAGAGAGTTGATCAAAGCTCAGGAGAAGACTGCGGTCAGTCAGGCCGAGCAGCTGCTGGACAAGATTCAGAAAGAGATCACTGAACTGAAGAAGACTGAAGCAGAGCTGGACAAACTGTCTCAAACTGATGACCACATCAGCTTCTTACAGGTAAGAGTAGACTCCTCTAGTGACATTTGTTTTATTCCGTTCACATCAACCATACATAGGGGCAATGAGAGCTGACAATAGGGGCAATAGTTTGGGCCTGGCCACGAGCACTGGCAGTCTGCTTTTGTGTCCACGGGCAAGAACCTTCACTCTTCTTGCCAAAGGTGGTGGTGATCAGAATTATTTTGATCACTTTTGATGGCAGCCAATTGGTGTGTTTAGTCTGTTGGCTCTATTTTTTAAGAGAATAGATATTTTAGATGAGGTTACTAATTTCTCTATACACCCTGAAATAAAACCCCCACAATTTGCATAAACCCCACATCCCTCTTAATATATGAGATGTCAAATTGTTGCTTTGAGATATTATTTAATTTTCAAAATTAACTTTTTGTCCCTTATACACAAGAATTGGAAAACACAAAGCTAAAGTCTCAACTCATGTTTCTGTCCTTGTCCTGTAGAGCTGTCAGTCTTTGGCCCCTCCCCCTGTCCACTCTGAGTTACCTCCCATCGCGTCTGACCCAAGCCTCACCTTTGGTCCAGTGATGACCGCCGTTTCCGACTTCAATGGACTGCTCCAGGAAGTCTGCCAGGGCGGGTTTGTCAGCATCTACGAGAGAGGTAAACACAGTGTTATACTGTCAATATTTCTACCCTTTTCTTCACCTTAAGGCCTAAGTCTGCTTGTCAGTTTCTGAGTTCTAGTTCTAGTGGGTGTTGTGTTTTCGTAAGGAATCTTTTCCATGATTATAGTGAGAAGAAACATCACGATTTTATGATTATTCACATCAAAACTATATAACAAGTCATTCATTGTATTACACTCACATTCTCTAATAGGTGACCTCTACTAGTGTGTATTTATATATATATATATATATATATATATATATATATATATATATATTATTTTTTTTTTTTTTTTTTGATAATGTGACAGATTGAACTGAAATTATTACATTTCTGCATCTAAAATTCTCACAATTACTATACTTCTTTCCAAATCAGTTTATAGAGTTATTGTGACATCCCTAGCTTTATCTTTTCAGTGAGAGATGTGGTGATTGTGGGTCCAGTGAACGTGGGGGAGCCACTGGAGACAGCTCAGCCCATTGTTATGGAGGACACATCAGCAGAACAAGCACAAGGTGAGTTTTCAATCCATTTGTTTCAAAATGATGAAAAGTTAGGACCATTGCCATAGTGAATAACAATTTAAAAGTACAAATAAAAGTATGATGCAAAAGCATGTCTCAGTTGGAAAAAAAATCCTCGAACTGTTGCATATAACAGGTAGGAAAACAAATGGATGATGTTTTATTTTTAGTTTTTTTTTTTTTTTCTCTTTCTCTGAAAAAAAAACAACAAACACGTCTTTGTGAGTGGGCTTGTATCTCTGCAAAACTAAACTTAAATATCAAAACTCAAACAGCTGTTGACGAACACACACAGAAATGATCAGCCGCAGCCCCTATATTCTTTGTAGAACAGCTCATGGTTGTGGTTGGTTTAGTATTTATTTAGACAGCAGCAATTCACTTACTGAAATATACTGTTGCTTTAAAATCTCTCACTGTTGCTGTCTATAACTATAATGCCTCATACCACTATATAAAAATATTATTAGCTCTTTCCAAGTGTCATTTCCTCTGAGTTTATTTTCCAGACTCACAAACAATTTTTCTTGGTTCCAACTTTTAACAAGCCCACATTAGTCAACTTGTTTACGGTTTGATTTTGCTGACAGTGTTAAAAAGTACCGTAATACAGTATTGCCATTGCAGTGTATTCTCACACTTTGTTGTAAGTTAGCCATTACATTTTTATTTTATTTTTCCCAGCCATGAATCTTCCAGTCGGTTTAGACCAGCACCTGGTGAACCCCCTCAATCCTTTCCTCAACCCAGGACCAACTGTGTCAAATTTTGTCTTCAGCACACATGGTAAGACATAAGACATTCTAAACCTGTAATTATGCACATAAACCAGGATTGGTAAGGAGTATGTGAGAGTAAAGCTGTGAAAAACCTCAATACCCAGATAAAACAATAAATAAACATAAATAAAACACACACATTTTGATATTTCCTAGACAGTATAGAGAATACTCCTAGTCTTTACCAGGAGTTCGGAACAGTACAAGGCTCCAGTTGCTGTGTTATTTTTCTTACTATTTAAAATTGAGTTACAAATTTCAAAAAGGAATGATTAAAAAAAGAGAATGCAATGTTTCTTTGATAATCACAATAAATGTTCATGTTCATTCATGTCTCATTTTCATCTAATAGTGGTGTTGTTTCCGAGCAAATGACATGTAGTTAATGCCTGTGTATACTCCAGATAACAATGATTATTAAAGTAGACAAACACAATTTCAGTAGTTTATTATTCCAGTTGCTACAAAAAACATAAGAAATTAAGTTATTACAAGAGAAAATACGTGCCACAATGAGATGGTTTAGACATGTACAGAGGAGGGATATAATGTTAGGAGACGATACACAAAAAGGCATTAGATTATACAAACTACTCTTCTGCAACACCATATCTGGAAATTTAATTCATTAAAGTCTGCCTTTTTTTTTTTTTTTTCAGGATCTGTCAAACTTTCCCTTGGAGCCAGACAGAGACACCATCAGCGCCGCAGCCATTCAAGGAGAAAATAGAAAATTTTTATTATTGCTTTCTTTTTAATCAGTGCACTGACACATGTGCCCGATTAATGTATCTTTGGTATAAAGCAAAACTGAGCCTCCTTCACAGACATTTCACAGCATTTCAATTTTGCCTTAAGTATTTTGGTTTTAGTATGAATTTGCTTATAGTTATTTTTAATTCAAATCAGTTCATCATCAATTTGTATTTATTTTGCAACTGGCATTAAAACAGCTACAATGGATGAAAGTTATTGTTTAGTGTCTTGTTTATCCAAAAGATTTAACATTTCACACATATGTCTTTATACAGATGAAGGAAAGTTAAAAAAAAAAAAAAAGTTTGTACTGAAAATGTTTTAATCAAAGCACACTATTTATCTGTTCCTTCATTGATGAGATTTATAGAGCGTTCTAACTTGTCGCTCCGTGTGGCAGCCTCTCACAGTGATAATAAAACTGCTGAATTGTGAGAGATCGTGCCACGAGTTGAGAATTATTGGCCAAGGTCTGCTGTGCTGAACGTTTTTATACAACACTGTAACTCATACTAAAATTACACATTGCGGTTTTCTATTGATGAGAAAGACTTTTGAAATGTAAAAGTGTTAGATTGTGATTGATGTTTGTGGCAGTAGATGGTGGTTGTGGTGGAGGCCATTGGCATGCAGTCTATCCCACAAACATTTATACAGTAGTACAGTATTTATTATTGTTATTGAGTAAGTTGTTTTTACTAGTTTTGTACATTTCTTTTTAAACGTATTTACTCTTTTTAGATTACTCTTCTTAGCACTATTTATTCAGATGTGATCACTAGGCATTTTTACTTCTACTTCAGTAATATAATTTTAAAGGTGCACATTCTACCTTCTCTGGTTGCTCCTTTGGGGTGTTATTGCTGTTCCTGGAATGTGTGTAAATCCCTCAGTCGTCTATGGCAAAAGGAGAAATTCAATTTGACAACTGGACAAAAGTTTATTTGGTCAATTACGTTTTGCAGCTGGTGGACACTGCCTTATATCTGCCTAAAGGGAGGAGCTAACTATAATGAAACTACCTGTTTACAGTTTCTGTTTGTTAACTAGGCCTGTTAAACTTGCACTGAGTGTGGGGTCATATTAATATAATTATATAGGGCCATAATATGACCCCACACTCAGTGCAAGTTTAATAGGCTTAGCTAACAAATAGAAACTGTAAACAAGTAGGTGTGTTAGTTTCAGAGTAGTTTCAATGTAGTAGCTCCTCCCTTCAGGCAGATATAAGGCAGTGTCCAGTGTGTTACACAGTATGGCATTAAAGCTCTGTCTTGTTTTGATTCAGTACAGGTGTTTTTACTGCGTGTCTGCGTGACCTGCTAGGGGATGATAGGTAAGTTTGTTTAATGTCATACTGTGGAACACTCAAATCAATAAAGTCCTCATGGAGACAAACAGGATAAAGATCTTCCATCTGAAAAGTGACATAATGCACCTTTAATATGAGAATAGCTTCTACATAATCCATGTTTCAAATGTAAACACATTTACGGTGACTGTTAGTCACACAGGAACAATAGTGCGCTTTCTCTTCGTCAGCCTGTTTCCTGAACTTTGCGCTGCTCTGATTGGGTGAAAAGGCGCAGGTGTAACCCGAAACTTTTCCAAGCACCTGCGATAACATTTGTGTGTGACGCTTCAGGCGCTTGTACGCGGGAGGAAAATGGCAGCTACGACTATTTCTGTTGAACAAGACCAGTTTTGTTGCTCTGTGTGTCTTGAAGTTTTGAAGGACCCCGTGACAATCCCGTGCGGACACAGCTATTGTTTGGACTGTATTGAAGACTACTGGAACAGACCGAAGCAGAAAGGACAGTACAGTTGTCCACAGTGTAGGCAAGTCTTCAACCCAAAACCGCTGCTCTGCCGAAACACCGTGCTCGCTGACGTTGTAGAGAAGTTACAGCGAACAACATCACGGCCTCCTACTCCAAACCAGACCAAACCAGGAGACATCAAATGCAGCGTTTGTACGGGAAAGAAAGGCAAAGCGGTGAAAGCGTGCCTGACGTGCGCGGGAGCGTACTGCACTGCGCACCTGAAAGCCCACGAAGAGCGCTTCCACCGGGGACACAAACTGATCCCGGCCACGGAGGAGTTTAAGGAAAGGCTGTGCCCGCTTCATAATGACAAACTGCTGAAGCTGTTCTGTCGCAATGAGCAGCAGCCCGTGTGCGTCCTCTGCGTAAAGGACAGGCACAAGGGCCACGAGAATGTGCCGCTGGAGGAGGAGAGGGCTGCGCAACAGGTGAGACCACTGTTTTAGTTATCAAAGAGGGTTACATGTAGCCTACTCCCATAACGGCACACTTCTGAATGAATGATTTAATGGCATTCCAGGCTGGTGAATATTTGGGTTTGGCTTTCCCTTTTAGCTGTACTGTTAATCTTAGTATGCCATAAAAGTCAACATTATGTAATACTAAATAGAGAAGGCACCATCAGCACCATTTGACCATTCTAACTGAATAAAGCCTGTATCTGGGTCCTGCTTTATAGGAATCAGTGTCAACACATTGCGCCTTACGGCTTTGACTTCTTTCTTAGAAACCACAATGATAGTGTTTGGCTCTTAATGGTTCTGAACATCCAGTCCCTTATTCTGTTAAGAAAAGCTTGGGGGTTTGTCTGGCTACGCACCCATAATACCAAGTGTTGATGTACAAATAGTCTCTAAATTCAAGTAAACAGTTTTTATATGGGTCAAAAACAGCAGTCTCTTCACAAGGCGTCAGAGAAATTATGGATTTGACAAACAGAAAATGGTTTGAAAAACTTGGAGGATTTTGGACACAAATGTGTTTCCACTACACATATCACTTGCTTCTATTCGAGGACACAATATCCACTAAATTTAACTGCTTCACCTTTTTGTTTAACTTTACATTACAAATATTAACTAATAACAGCTCGAATACACTTCTTTGTTTGGGTTGTTCTGAACCAATCACAGATCAATACAATAATAAAACTACAAATCCTTAACTTACTATAAAATGGTTTGGTGACTGTTTGACACTAACCTTTGTCGTTTGCTGTAAATATTTGCCCTTTTCCAAGACTCGAGATAGGATTATAATTTAAGAAATCTTTAACAAAAGCAAATCCATGTATTTCAACACGCCATTATATAAAACCAGCTTATCAAAACGGAGTGATAGTCCAATAACAATACACCCAGGTATAACTTAATGTTGAAACCTTTCCTTGAAACACATTCTTGTACCAGAGCAGCACAATTTTTTTGGGAAAAAAAAGAACGGCGATTGCATTTACATTTGCGATTTCTGTTGTAATAATTGGTTTGTTTTTAAACTTTATATTTAAATCACATCCAGATGAATTGACAAAAAGACTGAAATATGAACTGACAAACTAATAACAAGAATCATACAGAATAAAACAGGATATTTTGCAGAGAAAATTATGGTACTTAAAAATTCCAGCCTTTGTGAGTTGCTAATTACGATTTGACTGAGATTAATTTTGCAGCCCTGTGTATGTACCAGTATCTGTTACTTTTTGAACGAGGAAGTCATAATAGTTGAAATGTGATGTTTTGGCCTTGGGGACTGATCCTGGTCTTGTCCTCATCAGAGAAAACTGCAGGAGAGCTCTTTGAAGTCTGTGCAGAAAATGAAGGAGGCGGAGAAGGAGCTGCGATTCGCCATCAGATACATCAAGGTGAGTTTAATATGGAACTGACTGGGACGAGGCAGAAACTGAGATATCTACTGTAATATGGCTAAAATCTTCTAGTGTATTTAAATGGCCTATACTTTGTGATGGATTTACTGGAATGCAAGTGCTACACGTTGTCATGATAAATGTTCAATTCATATTTAGGACGTTAATAATTATTCACTTCTTGATAAATGAGTTATGTCTAGTTTGGTCACAAGTTCGACTGTTGGTTGGTTAAAAATGCAAAGAAAGATGTTTGACGGAATGTATGAAATGGAAGATAAAAATTGAACTTGCTCTAGATTGACCATTTCAAATATTGCTTATAATTTTAAGTATTTGAAGTTAATTTGAAACTATTTGATGATATATATTTTTGGTTATGTTTGCATTAAACCAAACTACCAAACTGTGTTCCAGGACTAGAGCAGGTCTAGAGCAGGTCTAGAGCAGGTCTAGAGCAGGTCTAGAGCAGGTCTAGAGCAGGAGCGAGTCTAGAGCAGTTCTAGAGCCAGGTGCAGGACTGAAACAGGACCGAAACGGGACCGAAACAGGACCAAACTGTTTATAGTTGTAGTTTGAATGTTTTCGTGAGTCTTATGGTTGTTGTCCTCAGCACTCCACAGAGGCAGTGGTGGAGGAGAGTGAGCGTGTGTTCTCCAGACTGTTGCGCGCTATAGAGAAGCAGAGCGTGGAGCTGCAGGAGCTCCTCAGGGCCCAGGAGCGGGCGGCCGTGGGACAGGCGGAGGAGCAGCTCGAGAGGGTCCAGAGAGAGCTGGGTGAACTGAGGAGGGGAGGGGCTGAGCTGGAGAAACTGTCCCACACAGAGGATCATGTGCACTTTATACAGGTGAGGGCAAATAGGCTACAACATTCAAAGGTCTCATATTACACAAAATTGACTCTTGTGAGCTTTAAGCTATGCTATAATGTTGTTACCTCCTCAACAACATACCTGGAGTTGTGTTTTGTTTCATTCACACGTGTTTGAGTAACCCTTTATTATTAGTCTGTCTACATCTCCAAAGAAATTAGCCAAATGATTCCAGTGAAGGTGTATGGAGTTTAAAAACAGTGGAGCACTTCCTGTATTACTACATGACAGTTTTATTATTGTATTGATCTGGGCCCTTTAAGAAACACTGTTACAAACCACATTAAAAAGTTAAACATGTATGCAAATAAACAGAATTTGCTCAATTTGACAACAGCAAGACATCATAAACAGAAATCATGTCATCTGATTGCAGCGCCGCCTTGACTGAATAATTATGAATACATTTTCTGCACTCTCATTAATACTCATGCAGTTAATGGGTGTACTGTCATCTTTGCATACAAAAATACTTTCTTGTGTACCAATTATTTTATCATGGATTTTGGCCTTTCATTTAAGCTAAAAATGACAAACTGTACTTCAATGTGAGTCATTGTAGTTCCCCAGTTCATACTTCCTGAACTACTGGTTGATTTTTTTGTTTTGTTTTGTTTTAGTTTTTTGTTAGTTTGTTTCCGAAAAATTAAAAAAATCATGTTACTTAAGGTAAAAGCTACTCTTACCATTAATGAAAATGCACGATGCCACTTTTGTGATACCTGCTTGTCTCCATGGCGATCTACATGGCATAGTCCACATCAAAATGATTAAATGACCTCTAAACACTAAATATACAAAAACTTAACAAAAATTACATAAATTGAATCTTGCTTGCTTTGTCGCCTGTAATTGAGTTATGTTAATACCACATCTCTTAACCCCTCTTGTCATAGCTGTTTCGTATTCAAATCACTGTGTCTGATTTTGCATTTACAGAAGTCCAAGTCTTTTCATTTCCCTGTGAAGAGCGTGGAGCTGCCCAGTACAGACGCACTCACTTATCTGATGTACAAAAACATGAGAGCAGCGCTGGCCGACCTCAAGGACAGTCTTGACCAAGCACTGGAACGAGAATTCAGCAGGATCTCCGAAAAAGGTACGCCACATATTTTTGAATAATTTTGGAATTAAAGGTGCACTATTATGCAACTTTTTCAACAGAGGGTCTGCCACATGTTTGTCTCATGTGAGTGTTATTTTCTAAGAATGTTCTACTCTATGGGATTTAGTGTTGTTTTTTTAACACATTGAAAAACATTCTTTGTGCAAGCAGGGTCACCTCTCCAATAATCTGACCTGTTATTTGACCTTCAGGCATCACCTGCTTGTTTCTGTGGCAATGGATATTAACCTTAATGCCATACTGTGAAATATTTCAAGAAAAACAATCAAATCTCCATGGACACAAACGGTTAAAAATAAGACTAATTCATGTCTTCTCTTTCTAGTCATTTCACTGAAGGAAGCAAGTAACCAGACAATTCATGATAAAGCTCAAGGTATGAAGAGTTTCTAAGTTGTTTTACTATTATATGTTTAGTTCATTAATAGACTATATTTTTTCTGTTTTTCTTCAACAGCATCAAAAGTAAAAGAGCTCGACTTGACGAAATCTGAGCCAAAGATGAGATTGGATTTTCTACAGTGTAAGAAAGGCTTTAAAATACAGCAATATTTTCAGAGTTTTAAGATTCAACTGTGACTGTGTACCTCTGCCAAGTAATTTGCTTTTGTTTGCATTATGCATTTCCTGACATTTGCATATGTAGAGCCTTTAGCTATGTCATTGTACAGTAGTTAGTTAAATGAGATTGTTTCATCAATCCTTGTCAGTCAAGAAGAGCGCCCAAATGGTCAAGTTACCTGCATTTGAAACTACGACTAAAGTACTAAGAAAAAGTCAGAAATTGAATTGAACCTTCAATTTATCTGCAAGCTGCTCACAGTGAAAATGCATGTTTTCAAGGTATATGTGAACAATTAAATACTTGTAATTGAATAAATGGAAGATAAATACACTTGAATGTCATACAGCGGAACATTAGTGTAGAATAACATCTCCATGGAGACAGCAGGCGTCCCACCAGAAAAAAAAAGCATTATGCATTAATTTACTGTACTTGAGTAATGTGACCAACAGATTTTTAACACTCTCAACTCATGAAAAAAACTCTAATTTGTCATTTCCCTCCCTCCAGACCACCACGACTTAACCCTGGATCCCAACACGGTTAACCCTTTCCTGGTGTTCTTGGAGGGGGGCCGCGGGGTCACCACCCTGTCTGAGGCCCAGTCGTACCCTGAGCACCCTGACCGCTTCACCTCATGGGCGCAGGTCTTGTGCAGAGCGGGGATGGCCGGACGCTGCTACTGGGAGGTGGAGTGGAGCGGGAAAGGGGGGGTCTCCGTCGGGGTGTGCTACAAAAGCATGAGCCGCAGTGGAGGGGGCAGTGAATGCAAACTTGGACATAACGCAAAATCCTGGAGCCTGGACTGTTCCTATTCCACGTGTTCATTTCAGCACAATAAGGAAAGTTTGACAATCAATGCCCCATGTTTTAGCAGGATAGGAGTGTATTTGGACTACAGAGCTGGGGTACTGGCTTTCTATGGAGTTTCAGATACAATGGTTCTTTTGCATAAAGCTAAAGCAGCGTTTGCCCAGCCACTCCATCCAGGATTTTGGGTAGGACTTGGATCAACTTTGAAACTGTGCTCAACATAAATGTAACATACAACAATGGGATTTGAGCTGTAAGATGATAAATTCATGGGGTGAAAAGCTGTTCAAAGCCTACGTCACCAACAGCCCGTGGTTTGTTTAAAAAGATGAAACCAGTGACTTGTCTTAAATTAATACATATAATAAAGAGTATGAGATTTTCTGCATGTGTGTCGAGAACTATGAAATTACTCCAAATTACCAAAGCTCACCGACTACTTCTGAAAAAAACATGGAAGTTAAATCAACTTTACTGTACCCACTTTTCTACATTGAATCAAATCACAAACTGATGTGAATTGTCTAACAGTGCACCATCTATGTCAAAAGGTTGATTATATAGAAACACAGGAGAAGTAATTGTGTTCATTGCATAGTATTTTATTAAACCGTGCAAACTGAACAGTGGATGGACTTTAGATCTTGTTGAAGGCAGCGACATCTACACTCTGGACCTGCACACAAGAACCACAAGTTAATAATTGTGCCAATATATATTGTAATTAAAGTACTTTTCATTCTTAAATTACCCATTTTGAATTGAATGTGTAGTACATAGACACCTAAACTCCCGTGTTTTATGATTGAAGAATTACATAATTTAATAAGGGTCCATCACCTGCTTTTCTAATTGTTTAAAATTCTACAAGTTACAGGTTAGATCTGTGAAAGGGCAACCCCATAAACTAATGCATGCTTTAGGCATTTTAGCCAATAACTGCATATAATAGATTTGTACATTTAATATTATGCTGTGAATAGTCTGGCAGACCCTCCACTAGTAAAATTACAAAGTGCACTTTAAATGAAGCCAGCCAAGCCTTTATATAAATCCTTACATAGTCTTCAAACTTGGTGATCTCCTCCTCTAGGATGTCTGTGCCCACTTTATCATCCTCCACCACACAGTTGATCTGCAGTTTCTTGATGCCGTAGCCGACTGGGACCAGTTTGGACGCGCCCCACAGGAGCCCATCCATCTCTATAGAGCGCACGCACTTCTCCATCTCTGACATGTCTGTTTCATCGTCCCACTGGAAAAAAAGTAATGCGGCATAACTCGAGATTAACATTTACTCTTTAAAATAACGTTAAGAGGATGATACGATAGGCAGCCGGTAAGCATTTTGTTATCAAAGTTACACATATGAACAAGTGAGGAAAAAGGTTAAATAGTGACTAGACATTCTAATCCAACTGATAAGATATCAGTAGGTTTCAGAAAATTGAAAGCAATGAATATTAGTACTTTCTGAATTGTTTAGCAGAAATGAATAGCTGATGCTGGGCTCTAAAAGAAATCTTAATACCCCAATAACCTACACAAAGTTGTTAGGTGATCACTGTTATGCCTGACTTGTGTGAGAATGTACAAAAGCAGGCTGAACTACATCTCCAATTAATGCAACCAAAAACATTTTCTCAAGGGCCCATTTTAGCCATGTCATAATATTGCTTCTTACAAACATGTTGTAGTACTCAGGTTCATTTATGCAACTTTTAAGTTCTATGTGAAATTCTGTCCCATCTTTTTGCCAACTGCTCAAAATGCACTGTTCTACAGCTAATGTGACACCACTTAATCCTGATGCTATGGTTTACTAAATTACTTTAATAGTACAAGAAGTTTTTGGTTGTGAAGTCCAGGAGCAGGACTATACCTTATGCATGCCTCTTTCTGTTCCTACCCTATTTCTACTAGGGATGCAATGATAATTGATATAATATCGAATTGTTTGATACTGGTCTGACAATTTGATACACGTGTTGATATGCACGTGTCCCTCCGGTGTTGTCATTTATTTTGGTCCAAAAGGAAAACATTGCGGCATCGTCAGAGACTCACAGCTAAAATATTCTAACAGAGGTGGATTTTATCTTTCTGTCACTTTTTATTTTGTGTTGATAGACCCAGGAAAGACAAAGATATTAACTGTTTTGAGTGTCCAGAAAGAGGATGGGAGAGTGCTGTGTGAAGAGCTACTGCCCGTCTCTGCTGGTGAAGACTCAGGAGGAAAAAAAATCATCAAATCATCAGGAAATGTATGATAGTGTAGCTCGCCTACAGACTATATTAAGAGTAGACAGGCTATATTATAAAATATAAAATAGCCTGAGAAAGCTCTGTTCTTATTTTCATTGAATATAAATGCTGTTAATCACTGAACCAAATAAACTAAAACTCTTCACATATAAACTACAACTTTACAGTAGTTGTACTGTAATGTATTGTATGTAATGTATCATTACCATCATAGCGTTATTATATTATACTCATTATACTGTAGTAAATTATACTGTACATATTATATTATGCATATTATATTACTGTATACTCACTAATCCGTGTATCAAGGTACTTATCGAATTGTGGGAAAACCATATCGTTGCATCCTTAATTTAACCCCCCCTTCCTCTCAGTTTACTTGCTTACTTCTTAATATGTGGAAATGTTAAATATTTAGTTCCTTACAGGCTTGACGTCCAGGATGATGGAGGACTTTGCGATGAGAGCAGGTTTCTTGGACTTCTTGGCAGCGTAAGCGTCCACTCGCTCCTGTTTGATGCGCTCTGCTTCCTCATCATCTTCGTCGCTGCCGAACAGGTCCAGGTCCTCATCATCATCCTCATCTACGGCCTTGGCTCCATTCTCCACCTTCTTCTGCTGCACAGGAGCTGCCTGAACTGGGGCCGCCTAGAGGACACAAGAGGGAACATAATTTAAACCGGTAAGTCAATGTCAGTGTTACAGTCATAGAAGAAACTTGCACAAGGGAGGCTATCAATCTCTGCAAACCTTTTAAAAAACATCCAGAATAAACAATTTTTGCTTCTTATACCACTAATACAAGTTTTTTTTTTTCTCAATGTACTTTCCTCGCATTGATGGTTAAATTGCATTATATGTTGAAGACTCATGTTAAAAAAAACAAAAAAAAAAACTAAATAAATATAAATCACTGCATTAAAAGATAAAGGATAAAATGATCAATAAGTGTGAATGAGTGAATATCCATCATCAAAACTCACTCTAAAGCTTTATGGTAAAATGCATCCTCTGTTTAATTTAAAAAGACTAGGTCCAAAACATGTTAAACGACAGTAGTTCCTTGAATGTCAGCTTCACAGAAATGAAGTGAAGGATCACAGTTGTTGTAGCTTTCTTATCAGGATTACCTTGGCACATGGAACAGCAGCTGGGCTCTTCTCCAGCGTAGCCACTCTGGACTCCAGCTTCTGTAGAGCTGCTCTCAAGTCGTGAACAACTAAAAACAAACAGCAAATTTATGTTGATACAAAATGTCTGACTAGATTTTATTTCCAAGAATGGGAAAAGAGAAAAATTATTCCTTTCTTTTCACACTAAAGTTTTTTTTTTTTTTTTTCCCCCCCACATACATTTTTCTCCAGTTTATTTTTTGATTTAATAATGTAGCTTCTTGAGCAAGGCTATATAGAATGTCCAATTTATATATATATATAAAAAATATCAATGTGTTTATTCTATCAAAATTAAATTATGTTTTGTGTGGAGTATAGTGACACCTTACCTTTGTGCAGTGACTGGTTCTCCACCTCTAGACTCTTCATGCGGGAGATGAGCTCCTGGTCTGCACCCTGTGAGGAAGACTGCAAAAACATAAGGCAATTACCAAACGAAGCATAGAGCGCAAGATTATTTCAAAAACATCCAAACCAAACCAAGCTCACAGGAAATACAGGGAAGGCCGAAGATCAACAATAGCACAAATTATTCAACATCTCACCCAAAATCTTACGGAAAAGGTTAAATTACACACGCACACTCCCACGCACACGCAAAAATCCCAATACAAATAATATGATAAAAGACAGGAGCAATGCCACCAAACTAAACAAGATTCTAACAAGATTTAAATGTACTCTTAATTGTATTCTTTGTACAGAATCTTTGTAAAGCACTATATGAATAAAATGTATTATTATCATTATCATTATCATTACCATTCATTATTATCATTCTTATTATTATGATTCTACTAACATAAAAATCATATTACATACTTTGCAACCATTGTTGGCCACAATACTTGGAACTGTTTAATTAACTATTTGTAATTTCACAAACTGCAACAATATTTCTAGCAGCTATTGCTCCTGTCTATTTTCCCCAAAACAACCATTACCATTATTTAAATAGTCAAATCCATGGGTTTCAGAGTGATGACAAATTACTCCACAAAATTAAACTTAACAGGAAAATGAAACACATGCATACAAGCAACCCAAAACAATTCATTAGGATAAGATTATACAGTTATGTAAAAACCTATTTCCTATCAGATTTACAGAATAAAATGCCATTTTCTGAGCTGATCCATGCACCACACTCTGGTCAGACTTACGTTCCTGTGCTGCCGTTTGGGCTTCCCTTTGACCTGCTGCAGGGCAGATTTAGCCTGCGTCCAGCAATCATAGGACAGCAGAGGAAATACAGAGGAGAAAAGTTAAGGGAAAGAAAGAAAGAGTGAAGCTAAAGGTAAACAAGTTTAACGCTTAAATAAACGTATGCAAGTGTTTTAGTAAAGTTGTAGAAATGCTGACTAAACATAATAGATGAACAGATTAACTGTGTGCCATGTGGAACAAAATAATTACTTGGAGTAGGTTTATATTAGGTTGAAGTTGCACAGGTGGTGGATCCACTATCTGTTCGTATCTGCTGATGTTCTTGCTTTGCCTGCAATGTTCCACAATATGGCAATAAACTTATCTAAGGGAAGACAAGAGGGTGACGCCACCAGGCCAAGCAATCTGAAGAGGCAAGCCCACTCAGAGTTTGAATGCATTTTTTTTCAAGGTATAAACAACAATTCAGTGGAATACTTAATTAAATGTCTGATTGAATATCTAGATGGGTTGAATGCCTTACTGTGAAACACTCCAAGGAAAGCAATAGCAACCCCATTGAGACAAGACACCCCACCAGATAAAAATTACAGTGCCCCTTTGACAGAAGTCAAACCAAATTTAAGGGATTCTGCACAATAGACACTCCTATATGCTATAAAGATATTTTTCATTGTCAGATTTGAGCCAAAGTAAGTCAGGACTGATGCTGTATTTTTGTGTATAAATAAACTTCCTTTGTTCACTGTCTCTCACTAAAGCTTTCCTAAAACTATTACAGAGAATACAATAAACTAGACACCAACACTAAACCATTGTCTGAACCAGAGCTTTACCTGCGCTGTAGCCTCCACTGTTACAATGCAATAAACATCTTTCACAGCATACATCAGCAATTCTATGACTTATTGCTGGGTATAAAATTGAATCAAATGCGGTGTCTTATTACATTACAACAATATATGGGTCAGGCTCTCAGGAGTGTCATTAGAAACACTTTTGACAACACGATGATTTATTAAGATGGAGTACAGGCCTACCTCCAGAGGGGGGCACCTATGGCTAATTCGCTGGCCCCAGTACTCACTCTGTCTAGGGACGTCTGGATAGTCTGTCGGGACTTAGCAATCTCGTCTAGGATGGCACTAGCTTCTCTGTCCTAAAGGCACGTGTAAGTACAGGAGTGAAGGGAGGAAAGGGGGACAGGAAACAAAAGACAAGGACCACAAGCTCAAGACAACAGACATGCACAACCTAAGGTCCAACTAGGGCTGGGTACCTGTAAGTAGGCAGCAGACTCCCCCACCAGTGCAAGGAAAGAAATATTTAATCTTATTGTTTGTGGTGATGACACTGCCTAGCAACGTTCTGTAGAGCTCTCCCAGGATATGGTAGGCATCAGTACCTGGCATCTTTTGTTGTAGTACCTGTGGTATCTTATGTTTTTTGTATTCTCTTAAATAATACCCAGCCCTATGTAAAACAGTCATAGATATTAGAGGAATGGAGTAGCATGTTATTAGAAACCACATGACCATGCAATTATTATTGTTGTATTTAAAACATATCTGTCCAATTGACTGAGCTTTCCTGTTAGGTATGTGGCAGTGAATGAGCGTCCTGCCCATCGACACAACTACAGTATGTGACACTGTGGTTAACAGGCAAACCCTTAGTGACTGCACCTGTAGTTTTTCCTTTTATGTGACAAAAAATGCTGCTTAGTCCAGTTTATGAGCTGTCCAAAATTTTAACTTTAGAGCTGAAACTAACGATTATTTAGCTAGTTGACTCATTGAAAGCATAATCATTAGATTAATCAATTAGTTGTTTAGATTCCAAAAGACTATGAATATGATGTTTTTATACTAAAATTGTTTTGCAGTCTAGTATAGAATAATCATTAAGCAAATTATTAAAATAATTTCAATAATCTGTTAGTTGTGATTAATTCACTAGCTCCAAGTTCTTCTTATTTCTGAACTGTAAATTGTGGATTGCATTGATGTTTGGTCATGCTGTCCATAATTGTGAATAATTGTAAAACTGGGAAATAATCACTAAACAAAAATTTGACATGGTGGCATCCCATGTTCCAACACCTTCTCCACAACACTAAAAAGATATGTCTAAATGGCTTGGATGGTGTAGTAGAACTGTATCCTTGTTATCTGAGAGCTGTCAGAGCTGACCCTCTGAGACCAATGGGACGTCCTGAGAGGCAGAGGCAGCTGCCAAACCACCTGACCACTCACACCAACAGCCCACTGCTAAATAAGACTCTTTCAGCTGTTGTGGAGCTGAGCAGGGCCAGAGACTGTCTAACCCGTCTGATCATATGTAATAAGGTACAAGGCATGTCTGTGGGGGCAAGAATGGCAAGAATGGGGGCTCCCCATTTCCAGTTAATGGGACTTTCAATAGAAAATGCAGCGTTCCAGTCAGGATGCTGTTTTGAGGAAATTTGTTGATGAAATTTGATCTGTATCTTTAGTTAAACCAACACAAAACATGCCAGTGCGCAGGCTTAAATTTCACTGTTTTTACCTGCTGTTGGTGCTGAGGGGCATGGCCGCTCAGAGACTCGTAATAGCGTCTCTCAGCATCATCGTAGCGGTGTTTGTCAAACCAGATGTTGTCAGCTGTGAGGCACTGCAGTCCGCTCATGATGATACTGGAAAAACACAATAACATGTCCTTTAGCAAAACACATTTGTTTTTAATGCTCTTAGCCATGGCCACAGACAAGGTTTTAGTTTTAAAGTAACAGTGAGTGACACAAAATCACATTTAACACATTTAAAAACAATTATATTTTACCTTTTAATTATCAGAACTTCATATTATAACCATCCCAAATCCCTTTACAAAATGCTACCCACATTGATAACACATTGTTCATTTGTTTGTAGCCAGTGACACAAAGAAGCAAAGACAAAACCGACAGGACAAAAACAGAAGCACTTAGGTCTACAGAGACAGCAACAGCCACACACACAGTCTGTCGCAGGCGGCGGATCATACTTGTCCCGTCTGGGCTTGTTTTCGGTCTCAGAGAAGCCCCGCTTGCGAGGGGCAGGCCCTCTACTGCCTCTGGTTCCAGACTCGGTCTCTGATGAGGTGCGGATGCGGCCCTTGTTGTCCTGCCGGGTCCCAGAGGACCTCACCATGATGGGGGACGGGTGGTTGGGGTCTTGGTTTTGGTTGCGCTTGGCGTGGAAAGACCGGACGTTGGGACTGCGTGGGGAGGAACTCATTGGCCCATTGCCGCTAGAGGTACGTTGGCGGTGGTAGTTGCCCTCCGCCTGGTCATAGGCATTGCGGTTGTACCACACCTGCTCAGCCTGGAGGCCCTGGAGCGCAGGGCTGCGGCCGTAAGAACCAGCTTCCTCCTCAGGCCCAGAGCTCTCAGACTGTGAAAGCCGGGAGCGCCTCTTCACGCGCCCAAACTGAATGTTGTCTCCACTGATGATGCCCCTCTCTTGGGGCACAGCGCGTGAAGCGGGGGTCTTTGGGCTGGACGGGTCCATTGCACTAGGACAGCTGATCCACTCACTTTGGAGTAAAGAGAGAGAGCAGGCGACAGGGAGAAGCTAGAGCTGTTAGGAGTTAAACTCAAGAAAGCAGTGTTAGCAAATGCCACAAGTGGGCTATCAAGCAAATATTATTAAAAATGATTCCCACAACAGGTGGAATAATTAACTTTGGATTAAAATGTCATGATAACATTTCATTGATCAACCTGTTCCCAGAAACCAAAGCCAAGTCAAATTCTGATGAGAACAAAGTGCACAGGCTCAAGTTAGGACTGTTTTAATCAATGCACATAGAAAATGCACAGTTCTTTAATCAAATAAGTAATGAATATTATACATGATAACAATTCAAGACTGTACCTTAAAATTTACAAACAACCCCCACGTCAACACAATAATCTTTTCCCAGAACCAAAATCTCTTCATGCAAAGACACTGACAACAATTTTCCCAAACAATGCAATTTCACACAGTTCAGCCAATGTTGCAGCCCAAATGCTTCTTTAAATAAAATTTAGATTTCCTTCCTTTTTTTTCCCCCTCCAAAGAAACACTTCATATCCATAGTCATATCATCCCTATTCAGCATGGTTATAAGAGATTTTCCTTCAGCACTTGAACCCGACTCACCAGTTTTTTCACTGTTAAAAGCAGTTCAGGTACACAGTGTTGCCTTCACAAGTGTTTATAAGCCAGGTTTTTAATCAAAAGTTTCAGAAGCAATTTACCATATGTTAGGGGCAAAAGCTGCGGAGCAACATAAAAACTTACCTTAAACTTTAGGAGTAGAATCAAATTCATACAGAAGCATACAGAGACATAAGACATTAAAATACCATATACATGAAATCATATGACATAACCTAAGGGTAAGGCAGCTGTCTGCATAATAATCTCAATGTATTAAACAGATCATGTCTGTTAGATTTTCTTCACGACAGTGGCTTGGATTGAGTGATGCATTGATAATTTACACTATAATGAGCGTTTCTTGTATCTTAAACGTGAATCTATACAACTTCCATACACGAACTACCCTTCTCAAGTTTGTGACAGCAGTGAGTCTCCAACTCCACCGACCACGTGGCGCAAGAAAATCAGAATCCGGCCATTCAGATTGAGTTTTATTGACAATACACGTTTCAATGTGAGCCAAGAGGACAAAATGATATTTTTAATTCACTTACTTGTTGCTTTATTCGACGTTTGTGGCTCGGCAAGAGGTCTGTGCGTGCTGCCTCCGCTGTAATCCGACAAGGGAAGAGGACGGACATAACCGGGGTGCTACCATTTTTCACAAACGCACGGTGAGAAAAACGCGCTTATGTGTATTTCTAACCACGACTGTTTTTGACTTTATTGACATATTAATCCCTTAAATTTTCTGTAACTTTAAAATGCATTTACTAGCAAATTTTCCTCAATATTTACAATATTCTTGACCCCTGTTTCTGATATGGTATCGTCCAAATGTCCCATCATTCAACGTGATAAACCAACCAAAGTATTAGCATTTTAAATTGTGAAATTGTTAGATTTAAATAAAAAAGCGCTGGAAAACACGCGGCCTTCGCACAAAACTGTAATATAAATGTTGATTTGAAGTGCATTTCTCCTGTCTTCCAGCAGAGGGCCAACTCATCGAGCCAGTGAGTGGAGGAGCCGCAGCTGCACACTGGAGGCATGGCTGGGAGCAGAAATCAAGAGTTCATGCATTTACAGAAAGGATGTTAGCAAATGTAAGTGTTGTTATTATAATACTATAATTGCATTGTTATTATTCTGGATTTTCCCTGATCTGTTTGACTCTCTCACGTCAACCAGGATGACTGCCTCAACTTGTAGTAAAAGGGTTACATGTTGAATCTGGTTTGAAAATGGTGTAATATGGGAATTAAAGATCCCATATTACACAATTTTCTGTTATAATGTCGTTTCCTTATCACAAACATGCATGAAGTTGTGTTTTGTTTCATTCATACATGTTTAACACACAAATCCTACCTCTTTAGGCTGAGTTCTTTCTCTAGAACTATAAACACTCCACATTGTGATGTCATGTGGTGATACGGGAAGTGCTCCACTGTGTTTTTAAACTCCATACACCTTCATTAGAATCGTTTGGATGATTTCAGCTCTGGATTTGCTCATATTTACTGAACAAAAGGTAAATGTAGCTGTTAACTTGAAAACTAGCACTGCATGACTTCACAAGACAAACTAATAATAAATGGTTAAGGCTCACAAGAGTACATTTTGCGTAATATAAGTATATAATATAAAATAGGACCTTTAAGGTCATAATTAATACCTGTAATGACACCATATTATTTTCAGTTTTTGCTCATAATGCAAGATTGAAATAGCAGTAGGCAGAGGTGGGGATTTGCAAGTCCTGACTTGGACTCCAGCCAGACTTGAGTCACTATTTTTAGGACTTGAGACTTGACTTTATAAAATGGACTAAGACTTGGGACTCGACTTGGACTTGAACGTCAGTGACTTGGGAGTTGACTCGGACTTGAGGCCTGTGACTTGAGAAGCACTTTTAAATCTGAATTCTTTCGGTTCTGACTGTAATGATTCACACTAAGATCTTGTCAAAACATTTAAAAAGGAAAAATGTACATCTCTACAACTCTTATATACTTATAAATACTCATATAAATATACTATGATTTTTTTAAAGAATAATTTAGTTTAAAAATCATATAAATTGCAAAAATCTAAGCTATATTTGGCACTTTGGTTTGAAGACTTGAAATGACTTGAAGCTCAAAGCAGACGACTTGGAACTTGACTCGGACTTGTGGTCAAAGACGTGAAGCTTACTTGAGAGCTGCAAAACAACAACTTGTTCCCACCTGAGGCAGTAGGTGGCAACATATTACAAACCTGAATACCCAAAATGTATTTTTTTTTTTTCGTTTCTTTGTGAGAAAAATAAATCATGTTCATCAGTTTAAGTTTTTATAATTCACATTGCATCAATGAAAAAGTGGGACATTCTCTAAATAATGGGATGAGGGACAAATGACTGCGTAGGACAACCAAAATGAGGACAAAGTGGTTACCCTAGTTACAACTCAAATCTTCATTGCAGATGTAGTTGTGTGTTGCTGAAGGATTAATATATTGTATATTTTGTTGTCTTCATAGAAAAAATGTCTAATGCATTTGACATTCAGTGCTGCACAAGAAATGGCCGACTCTTCACCATGATCCAGAGTGGAGATGCAGGTATGATTCACACATTTTAAAATGACTGTGCACAAAAAAGTACAAACAGAATTTGTCCACAGAACTGGCCTGTAACTTTGCTTAGTGGCATCATTTGCTTGTTTATATAGTCAATAAGTCTATAACTATCTATAGTCTATAACTATAACATCTTGGAGAAAGTAGGTGGTAGACTGGTAAAAAAGTTACACAATTCACCTTTACGCCTAATAATAAATGATGTACTGAAGATCGTACTGGGGGGAGCTGTGCACTGCTGAACCAGGGTCAAAGGAGATGTTCTAAAAGGAGGACATGAGCTGGATCTGTCATCTGAACTTAAGACCAGGACAAAGACATCTTGCTGCAGGCCTTGCACTCTAAAATCTCCTAAAATCTCATTTTTTATTTACTCATATAAATTATTTTCCTGTTTTTTCCTCTGCTTCAAACCTCACACTGTAATGTTACTGTTTACTGTGAACCTGACCCATTACTGATTTGCGATGCTTGGATTTCAATTGGATTAAATATTGATTAATTGCACAGTCCAAGCATAAAGTTACCAATGCAGTGCTTTTTCTCGCAATTTCCTCTTCTACTGCAAGCTCTATTGGATTATAGTTTACCAATCTTGTGTACAACCCTTTAAATCAGTGGAAACAACACCATGTAACTAAGACTATGCTGTTAAAATGAAAACAATTATTTTAAATAAATAAAAAAATTTAATAAAGGTGGAAATGGATTTTTTCTGGTGGAAGAACTGCCTCCTGTTTGTCTCCATGGAGATGTGACTGCTTTACCTTGCTGTAGGCTTCGCTGTACTAGGGAATGAAATGTTTTATTATAATTTGATTCTAATTTAAATTTTAAATGTTTAATAAGCGAAACAGAACTAAAGCATAACAAGAAAAATAAGAAGAATAGTCAAACAATCACATTTAAAAATATTTTAAATAGACAATTGTAGACAAACAAATTTGTCACCTTTTTTTTTAAAATTTTAATTACAAATCGAGACAAGCAGGTGGCGGACCCTTAATTATAAAAGTTACATGGTGAATCTTTAATTTACCTCAGTTTTACATGTAATAAGGGAGATTTTAAATGCTTCCCAGTTCTAGTTATGATCACAGATTCTGGAACAGAGATAGAGGAAGAAATCGTCTGATGTCCAAACGCTGGCCTCGACCGACCTCATATTAAAGGATATGGCGGGTTTATTTCTGCGCTCGATCTGTCGTCAATTATGCAAATCCCTGTTCTTTTTCAGATAGGCAGATGAAGACATGACTGATTTACACATGTGAAAATCAAAGTTTACCGACCTCATCTCCTTTAGGGATTGTGTTAGAAGCAAAAATACAAGGCCAGTGGTGTTCAAATTAGGGGTGTCAAATTATCGCGTTAATTGCGATTAATTAATTACAGTCATATTTAGCGCGTTATGTTTTTTAATCGTGTTAATCTCATTTTTAATCTCTAACTTTACTGTTTCTGTATGCGAGTTGCGTTATTATAAAACCTGTTTTTATGTGTTGTTGGGACAACAACACACACACAAAAAAACACATTTATACATTTTTTTAATTTCGGTAATTCCACTCATTGTCGGAAACCCACACAAAACGTGCGCAGTAAGAGCGATGTAAACGTCATGTTCATGTTTGCGGCATCAGTCGCACAATGGACGAGGTCGTAGAGCCAGTAGAACAGAGGCAGCAGTGCACAGGTAAAAACACATTCGTGTCTTGGAAATTATTCTCCCGACGTGAAATATAAAAGAAAATAACAAATATAAAATCGCCTACAACTTAAATGTCACTGGTGAAAACAACCTGCATAGGCTCATGATGTCTGCACTACTGTCCTATAGTGACCTGCCACATGAGGGGACACACACACAAACACACACAAACACAAACACACACAAACACACAAACACACAAACACACACAAACACACAC